AGTGAAAGTAATGATGATGATTATTATCATCATTATAAAGATAGTAGTAGTAGTAGTAGTAATGATAATAATAGTAATAATGAAAGGATAATTAGGGCAGTGATAATGATATTTATAATAATAATGTTAATGATAACAATGATACTAATAATAACAATAATAAGAAAAACTATAATAATAATAATAATAATAATAATAATAATAATTACAGTAATGATAGCAATAAAAATGACAATGATGATAGTAGTAATAATATGTATATATATATATATATATATATATATATATATATATATATATATATATATATATATATATAAAGAACCTAACATATCTGTAGCACGTCACCAAACATTTTACAACCATCCAGACTGTATCGAGTTGGCCCGTCTCTAAAAAACATGGGAAGAGTAACATGACAACCAAAGTTACGAGCGAGTAAGGAAAAAAACATGAACAAATGAAGAGAATCTAGCTAATAATTCCAAAGATCAAAGAAACAGAAATCAGAAAGGATAGGAGAACGAGACCACGTAAACGAATCCTTCGTTCTTCGTATTCGACACACGAATAAAGACACGAATATCGAACGGCAGGAGGCGACCGTCACGATGCGATGGTTCCGTGGGTGTGGCGAGGTCACCTGCCTCTCCCACGCCCTAGGCAATGCCTTCGCCTCCTCCTGCTGTTCCTCCTCCTCATTTTGGGATGTGGAATTGCTCTCTATAGTGCCACGTTCACATACAGGTGATTTTTCATTTGTTGTGATGGTGTTTGTGATTTACATATTTATTTTGCTTTATAATTATTTATATGTGTGTGAGAGATAGAGAGTGAGAGAAAGAGAGAGGAGAGAGAGAGAGAGAGAGAGAGAGAGAGAGAGAAGAGAGAGAGAGAGAGACAGAGACAGAGACAGAGACAGAGAGAGACAGAGACAGAGAGAGGGAGAAAGAAAGAAAGAAAAGAGAGAGAGAGAGAGAGGTTGTGTGACCAAATTCATGATCTGGAACGCAGACAAGAATCTTTGTGAGAAATTATACTCCGTACTTTGTCTCTCTTCTCATCTAACCTTGAATATTCTTAAAAGGATTTCCATCATCTTACATCTCACTAATGGTGTAAACATACCGAGAAGGAGTAAATATATATATCAACACAGAACCAAGAGCAATATTTACTGTCTTTTATTCAATGAAATCAGCGTGTTTATTCCTTAGTCATCAGTACACTTAGATATAATTACTAAATGCGGCGCAGATTTTAGACCAAAATGAAGATATATGAATTTTGTCCAAATACATGACCAGTGATAAGGAGTAAAATTACTACATTTAATTACAATTGATTGCCACAAGTATAGTGATAATAGTAAATGTAATAATGGAAGTATGGATTATAATAATGAAATAATATTAACGAAACTGACAATAATGATAATTAGAATATTGACAATGATGTCATTAGTATAACAATGACGATAATGTTCATACTAATTGTATGGGGAAAAGGATAATAATGACTAATATAATGGCTTTGATTATAAAAGTAATAATGTGGATGATCATAATAAAATAATGCTGAAAGTGATAATGATAATAATAACATAAACACATTAATAATCATAATAACATTGATGTTTAATAATAGTCATAAAGATAATGATAATCTATATTGAAAACAGTAACGCTTTTCTCTCAGAGTACTCTATCGTATTACCGTGTGTGTGTGTATGTGTGTGTGTGTGTGTGTGTCTGTGTTTCTCCAGCCAACAAGACGGACTACAAATCCACAAATATCGCGATATAAAAAGAAAGAAAAAACAGACCGCTAACCAATCACAGCATTTTCCTAGCCGGGGGCTCCGTCCTCGGTCCCCCACCCAGCAGCCTATTTCCTGTATCTTTAAACAAAACGATACAAAACAAAAATCCTTAAAGGTGTACCTTTTTTAAGTGATCAGAATTGGTTTTCACATTGCTACCTACTGTATATGCACGAGGTAGTTTTAGTGAATAGTAAAACCCATTGTAATTGTAAACTGGGAAATCAGTATTGGAAAAAAAATCAGGCTGGATTTTCGCGCAGTTCTTGAGAAAAAAAGGTTCATCGAAATAAACCAAGAAAAGCTAATCAGGAGAAGAGACCCGTAGGCGACTGGCAAGGGTACCTTTTCCACCTTTCTCTCCTAAACTCAGACATCTTTCAGGTATTTTAGCTTCGTCTTTCCTTTAGACTTAACTGGGACTGTCGAGAGAGGGTTTGTTCGGACAAATCACTTTCTCTATCCATCTTTGCCCAGGCACCTTATATATATCTATATCTATATCTATCTATATATATATATATATATATATATATATATATATATATATATATAATTATATAATATAATATAACATATATATATATATATATATATATATATATATATATATATATATACATATATATATATATAATAGATAAATACATACATACATATATATATATATATATATATATATATATATATATATATATATATATATATATATATATATAAACATAATATAATATACATGTGTCTACATAAAATATATATATAATATAATATATAATATAAAATAATATATGTCTACATCATATAAATATGTGTATATATATATATATATATATATATATATATATATATATATATATATATATATATATACATATGTATGTAAACAGACGCGCGCGCACACACACACACACATACACACATATGTATGTGTGTGTGTGTGCATATATATATATGTATATATATATATATATATATATATATATATATATATATATATATGCATATCTGTCATACTCATATGTTTGTGAATGTAGACACACATATATATGTACATATATAGATAGATTGATAGATAGACATAGATATCGATATATATGCCTGTCATACTCATATGTTTGTGAGTAGGCACGCACACACACAATACATATGTGTGTGTGTGTGTGTGTGTCATGGAGTGTGGTCAATGATCCAGAAACATCCCAATTGAACTCGTGCTTGACTTTTTTCTGCGCGGGAATATTCTATCCCTTTGCCCGTTTTCTTTTGATCTCGTTTTTTATTACTTTACTAACATTAATTATTAACTTTGATTTTACTGATGAGATCTACTTTCTGTTTGTATCTTTGATAGTGACTGTATTATGTGTTTACAACTCTGATATGGACACTTCAACTTGGGATGTTATTTTTTATGTCACTGCCTGTGTGTGTGTGGGTGTGTGTGTTTTGTTGATTTTTTTTCGCTGCGTTTTATTCGGATGCATTAAAGCATATGGTTTATTTTCTTACTTTAAGTTATCGTATTTTCTTCTTTCTTTTAATGGGTGCATTCAAATTTCTTGTGTGTTATATATTCTATTTGAATTGTATGTAATTGTAGATTTTCTTTTCTTTTCTTTTAATCACAAGCCGATAACAACACCTAAGACAATAAACAGCGTGAACTGGATCTGTGTGTTTTTGCATCTACCCTTCTCTCTGCTTAACTCCATCATAAGCTTTTCGTTGCTTTTGTAGGTTGTATTTACACTGGACTCGGTTAATATTCATTGGTTATGTATGACGTTTTTTAGGAGTAACAATATTCAGTCTCTTTTCATTTGTCACGATTTCCTTGCTAGTTTTGCCTTTTCAAAAACTCGTTTTCAGTTATGGCAGAATTCTTTTATTTCATGTATAATATTGTTTCAATAGTATTGTGAACTAATGCCTACCCATTATTCTATCGTGCTTTATTGCTATTTATCTGTTTTATTCCTATCACTTCTGTTTTTATTACATTTACCTTTACTTTTACTATATCAGTGAATTTTTTGTGCTGTTTTTAACTATTGTTTATCTGCCACCGTGCTACATTATTGTTTTTATTTCTGTCTGTCGTGTTTTGAATTCTTAATGTTTTATTGCTTCATCTTACTGCATTTTTTCTGCTGTTATTCTTTGCTCTTACTATCTTGAGTTACTACTAATTTATCAGAATTCTTTTTAGTATTTTACGCTCTCGTTTACCATTTTTTGTCGCTGTCACTTAATTTTATCTCATTTACTTCGTTATTCATTTGTACTTTTCACTTAAACTGCTGCTGTTTCTACTACTACCACCACTTTTTCAGCTACTACTTTTGCTAATATTGCTGCTATTATTTCTACTGTTTATCACTACTTACCCTTATATGTTCTCGAAAAGGACTAATAGTTTTATAGGCAATAGTTTTTTTTCTTTTTCCAAGGAACCTGGAAGTTTGGCCACTACAGTCCTTTGCGCGCGTGCACACACACACACACACACACACACACACACACACACACACACACACACACACACACACACACACACACACACACACACACATATGTGCATATATATGGCATATATTTTTGTGTATCCTTGTCATAATAATAAAATCAGTATGGCATTCTCTTTAAAACACAGTGGTCAAATAATCTGGTATATACATTAAGACATTTATTAATAATTTACAATTCTATCTCTAAATTCCTTAAAAACTAAAGTAGTTAACAACATACTGTTAGATAACAATTATACACTGTTCATGGAGTTCATGTTACCATATACAAACAATGTAGTGGAAAAGTACAATTCAGGGGAGACTCATTTTAGTGTGTACACGAAGGGGAAACTCCTGCAGTGACTGCCCTTGTTGTGTTTACACTGAAGGGGAAACTCCTACAGTGACTGCCCTTCTGGTGTGTACACTGAAGGGGAAACTCCTGCAGTGACTGCCCTTGTGGTGTGTACATGGAAGGGGAAACTCCTGCAGTGACTGCCCTTCTGGTGTGTACACTGAAGGGGAAACTCCTGCAGTGACTGCCCTTCTGATGTTTACACTGAAGGGGAAACTCCTGCAGTGACTGCCCTTCTGGTGTGTACACTGAAGGGGAAACTCCTGCAGTGACTGCCCTAGTGGTGTGTACATGGAAGGGGAAACTCCTCCAGTGACTGCCCTTATGGTGTGTACACTGAAGGGGAAACTCCTGCAGTGACTGCCCTTGTGGTGTGTACACTGAAGGGGAAACTCCTGCAGTGACTGCCCTTGTGGTGTGTACATTGAAGGGGAAACTCCTGCAGTGACTGCCCTTGTGGTGTGTACATTGAAGGGGAAACTCCTGCAGTGACTGCCCTTGTTGTGTTTACACTGAAGGGGAAACTCCTGCAGTGACTGCCCTTTTAAGGTGTACAATTCAGATGAAACGCCCAAAGTAACTGTCTCGTTTACAGTCAGAAGGAAACACTTGCAGAGACAAAACCTCGAGTTATGGTAGAATAGTTATGAGACATCAGCAGTGACACTATAATAGGCACAAGAGGAATGGTAACATGTCGGTTAGACTGGATTCCAAACATCCGCACGCAATAACATCGTCCCCTGCCCGCCACCAACTTTCTGTCAGCACCCACACCTTAGCCCCCAAACACGGACGTCCACACCTGATGAATTTTAAAGACGCTCTGTGGCGTTGATGACTTTGGTACATAGCTCTACCATTTGTCAAAATACTCATGGAATTAGTACTCATCGATCTATCGGTCCATTAACTCGTTGCAGGAATCATTAAAAAATACATTCCAAAACCCACTGACCGAAAAAAATAGGATTAACGAGCGAGACCAATCACATAGTTGGAGTGGTGTCGACGGTCCGGCGTGTGTCCGGCGGTGATCGGGTTGTCCTGAGTCAAGTAATTCCGGTGAGGAGCCACAGGCGGATGGATATTCACTCTGGAAGCCGTGTGTCCTGCCGCGAAGAGTTCCTCGGGATGTACTCTCTTCGCCCCCACTGGAGACTTCACGACCGGAAGCCCTGCGAAAGCGAAGCCTGCGGGGAAATCGTAGTCGTACTGGTGTGGGTAGTAGTAGTAAGGTGAAGTGTAGCCTCCGGAGAGAGTGTTCTGCGTCTGGTACTGGTACTGCTGCTGGGACTGCTGCGGCTGCGGTTCAGGCTGCGTTGAGATGTGTTGCTGTGTCTGCTTTTCGTACTGCTGTCGGAAATTCTGCTGCTGTTGCTCGAGGTCTCTCTGCAAGGCTTCAAGCTTCTCTTGCTGGAGCCTCAGCTGCCGCCTTTGCTCTTCCAGTTGCTCCTGCTGCTGTTGAAACTGGCGTTGCTGCTCCTGCAAGAGAGCGCTCTGCTGTTGTTGCAGAGCCTCTTGCTGTACGAACTGGGGCCCCTGCGTCTGAGGAACGTTAACAGCCTGGGTCGTTTGGTACTGCGCGTTGGGAGTCAGAGGAGGCGGGACGTCGAACTCACTCGTGCCTTCAACTGCGCCGGTGAAGGCAGGGGTTCCATGCACATGCGAGGCAGGTGTGTCGGGGCTGATGGGCAGGTCGTTCCCTAGTACTCTGAAGCCTTTCTCGTCTGCGATGTACGAACGAACCACCTGGCGATAAAGAAAAATGAATAGCTGATTCACTCTGTAACTCAAACGAATATTACTCAAGTTAATTATCTTATCATTTTTTTTCTTAGATGATGAATTGGCCATAACAGATGATGTCTGTTTTTCATAAGTGTCATCCATCAAAATTGTAGATGTAGATAGTTCATCTGCCCAAAATTGATCAGCTATATCACTGAAATATTACTATTACTCGTTTGATTAATGCCTCTTTTAACATGTTGGTCATATAGGCTAAGTGTACCGTCATTAAATAAACTCAAAATATCTATATATCATTAATCGCTGAGTCTATTTTTTCCTGTAACCAACATCCACAATAACTTTAATAATAATGATAATTTTCAGCATAGTAATGATTAAAAAAATATATTATGGTAAAAAGATGACAGTGCTGACCACAGTATAAATGATACTCAGACGAACGAGAAAAATGTTTTTGATAATAATATTGGTAAGGATAATGATAATAAAAAATAGTGATAATGAAAATGATAATGATGATAGTAATAATAATAATAATAATGATAATAATGGTGATAATCATAAAAATGAAAATAGTAATAACAGTAATGACAATGATAATAATAGTAATAATGATAACAATAAAGATACTAATAACAATACTGATAATTATAATAATAAAAATAATGATAACAATGATAAAAATAATGATAATGAAAATGGTACTACTACTACTACTAACAATGATAATAAAAGTAATACTAATGATGATAATAATATTAATGATAATGATAATAACAGCACGACAAATATAATAATGATAACATGAGTAATAATGATATTACTAATGATACTACTAATAATATTAATAATTGTAATGAAAATTATAATAATAGTCACAATAATAATGATGATACTGATAATAATAATAGTTATAATAATAATGGTAATCACAGTCATAATGATATAATTATGATTATACAAATTGTTATCATACTATCAATAATCATAATAACAGTAACAATACTGGCATTACTAGTACTACTGCTGCTACCATCACTACTACTAATAATGATAAAAAAACATAATAATAATAATGATAATAAAAACAGAATAGTAATAGTGATAATAAAAACAATAACAATGATGATAATTATAATATTAGTAATGATAGTAATAATAATAAAGATAATAACAATAATTATGATAATAATGATAATAGTCATAAAATAATAATAATAATGATAACGATGATAATAAAAGCAGTATTGATAATAGTTATAATAACAATAATAATAATAATGATGATGATGATAATGGTAATGATAATGATAATGATGATAACAATGATAATTATAATAATAATAATGGTAGTAATGACAGTGATTATAATAATGATAATAACAATAATGGTAATAGAAAAAATAGTAATGATAATAATAACAAATAATGATAATAATGATAATAATAATAATAATAATAACGATATTGGCAATAATAATAATAATGATGATAATAATAATATTGAAAATAACAATAACAATAATAATAATAATAATGATAACAATATTGAAAATAACAATAACAATAATGATGATAATAATAATAATAATAATAATGATAATAACAATGATAATGATAGTAATAATAATGGTAGTAATGATAATGATGGTAATAATATAAACAATGATAATAACAGTAATAACAATAAAGATGACAATGACAATGATGATGCCACACAACAACAATAATAACAATAATAATAACAATAACAGTAATAATAATAATAATGTTAATGATGATAATGGTAATGATAGTAATAAAAATATAAGTCTAATGATATTAACAATAAAAGCAATAGCAATAGCAATAACAAAAATATTTATCATCATTATAATTATTATTGTTATTATCATTATAGCTTTGCTTATTATTATTATTATCATCATAATAGTAATGAAAGTAATAGTAATGATACTAATCATACTTCTACTACTACTAATTTCAATAATAATAATAATAATAATGATAATAATGATAATAATAATAATAATAATAATAATAATAATAATAATAGTAATAATAATAATAATGATAATAATGATAATGATAATAACATAATACTACTACTACGACTAATATTATCATTACTAATAAAAACTACAACAACAATAATGATAATGGTAATAGCAATAATATTGATGATAATAATAACAATAATAATAATAATAGTGATAATAGCAATAATATTGATGATAATAATAATAGTAATGATAATAATAATAATAACAATAATAATAATAATGATAATAATAACAAAATAAAAAGTAATAATTACAGTCATGACAAAGGAAACAAGAACGAAAGAATGAGCAAAAGCGAAGGCCGCCCATCCTGGCCTCGCGCGCCGCCTCACCTGTTTGCCGTTGGGGTCGAAGTACCTGTAGGAGCCGACGACAGTGCCCGTGGGCTGACGAACCTCCACCTTCGCGATGCCGTCCCCTGTATTGTAGCCGTAGTTGTAGGGTCCGCCCGCCCTCGCCACGGCATACGCCCCTCGCTCTTGGGGCGCCGCTGCATACACCACTCCCCCAGAACCTACTCGGTTCAGCTGACCAGCCGCCGTGGTTCGCCCTAGCACGCTGCACAGGGCGGTTAGTAAGAAGACCTGGTGGGGGGAGGAGGAAGAGTAATGAGAATAGTGCTAATGTTTTTGGGTGTAGGAAAACAGGGGAAAGCGGTGAGAAATTGTGGTATTTGTGCTGGCAATTATGGCGATGTTTATTTAATCTATTTAAAGATGTGGAAGGAATATGTCCATGGTAGTGGTTCTCAACCTTTCCTAATACCATGCCCCCTTTAGGACTTTGTCCTTCCCTCCCCCCTCGCCTTGCATCTACGCATAAAATTCCTTCCCAGATTTAAGTAATTGTATATATGTTCTTCTTATTGAGTATGAATTAGTCATATTATCAATAATTTAATTACTTGGCTATGCTTGTTAAGAGAGTAATAAATCTAATTAAAGATTTTTTTCCCCAGAGATCGTGACCCCCTTCGAAATTGCTGATACACCCCTAGGAAACACGCTCCCTAGGCTAAAAATAACTGGTCCAAGGCTTTCTCAATATCATATTTACAAGATGATGTCTTAGGCTTGAAAATGATTGTAGATGCCTGGCGGTAACATCGATTTAAAGTGCGAAGGCAATTGGAATTTTATACCTCATCTCGAGAGTAAATCGGTAATCGGTAAATTTGCTGTTCTAGTAATCTTAGGTAATTGCTGGCGTTTAGAAATGACTTATATTTCAATAGTATACTGCATGCACGTCGTTAAGCATTTCATTTTAGAGCCTCTGAACATATATCCTTAAAGAGGATATGAGTTTGACGGACTCGGCGTGTCGGTCGATTACTTGTCCGCCCACACCTCTTGCAACACACGTAGAATATCCTTAATTAAACCCAAACAGCACGAACAAGTGACACCCAGGCGGATGCGAACCAGTCGCATCGCGCAGGGAATCGTCTGCGACCGATAAGCTCTCCATGGCTGATGGCTGCTGCCCGGAGACATCATGAATATTCCCCGCCGACGCCTTCTGCCCGAGCCGTTGCCTTCGAGCCCCAAGGTCGCAAGGCCTCTGTAAACATCGTGGCAAATGTGATTCAAATGTGATTCCTGCTCCGGGTTGCCATAAGAGCTAATTGCCATAAGGGGCAGCCTAAGGATTACGCTACATGGCATATCCACGACGAAAAGTGCGTGGGCATTTATAGGCAGGGCAAGGCAGGGCGGCGGCCGGATCCTATCCCAAGGCCGGACCGTCGTCGCCGTTCATACATACCCATCTGCTACCCTTCAATACCCTTCGACCTACTACTACAACCATAGCCATTGAAACACCGTCCCTTTTCCTACCGACTCTTACACATCGACCTCCTATCCTTCCTCCGACCCTTTTCCCAAAGCGAAAAAGGACAGCGCAGAGGTCAGAATCGGGGCACGAGGAACACCCATTGCCCTCAAGAAACCAGACCGAGAAATCCTCCGCGATCTCCTTATATAGACAACCACGACTCCGCCCTCACTGGTTCACTGCGTCACCAGGTGCTCTCGGGGAGGACAGTCTCAGGATCAGAGTGTTTTGTCGTTTGTTGCAGAATGCCGGCGGGGATGTAAACACACGCCATGGTCAGTTGCTTGTTGTCTGTATTAACGGTTTAGTCACAACTTGAATTAAATAAGGAACAAGAAACCATATTTTGGGAGACATGATGGAGAAGCTAATGGCTCGTGTGGGCGGCTGTAGGTGTGTGTGTGTGTGTGTGTGTGTGTGTGTGTGTGTGTGTGTGTGTGTGTGTGTGTGTTTTCTTTTTCTCACTAATTACTCCAAGTTTATGTGTATCTGGCTTGTATGCGCGATGCAATACCTTTACAAGAGTAGTTATTTGCATATGTGTGTCAATGGCCGAGTTCATGTGTAAGTTAAATTGTGTGTGTGTGTGTGTGTGTGTGTGTGTGTGTGTGTGTGTGTGTATGTGTGTGTGTGTGTGTGTGTGTGTGTGTGTGTGTGTGTGTGTGTGTGTACGTGTGAACACACATGTAGGCACGTATGCGTGTGTGTGTGTGTGCGCGCGAGCGTGTGTGTTTACGTGCACAACTACCTGCGTAAATGCATATATATATATATATATATATATATATATATATATATATATATATATATAATATATATATATAATATATATATACCTTTATCTACAGTCTTCCCATTGCTGTTTATGCATACGCCTGTCCATCGTTGCAAACATGTCCGCACACACACACACAAACACATCGCTGAGGGTTATGGCGGCCCTCCTTGTTTGGGGATCGATATCAAGGTCATGGCATTTCTAGCTCACAACACGTATATATATATACACCTTAGCAGTCAGTGTATTATTAGTGTAAAAGATCACCAATGTTGTCATTTGTCGTTTGGCGTCTGGTATTACACTTTTTTTTGAGGGGGAGCGTGGGTTTGAGGATTTCGAATAACAGAATTAAAAAAAAGAACCATTTCGTGATATATCTATATATATAACACACTATTATGATAAAAGGATATACGAAATATAAATGATAAAGTTCATTAAGTCTTAAGCGTCTATTTACGACTACGCAAAATCCTCAGACAACGACATATACGCGATGGGAAAAAATATATACATCGACACAAAACCTCCACATAAACAATTACAAAAATCTCCTTCTAAAAATAACAAACGAATCATAAAACCCAAAAAACATAACCAATCCTTTATCGACTCGAAATAAATAAACACACACATACAAACTCACACAAAAGATAAAGGTAATTAGGACCCTAGATTATACAAGCGATGCACTTACCCGAGCGTTCATGGCGGT